TTTAGCTTCGGTATTGAAGCTTTCAAATGTTTTCTAACTTTCATTTGATGTGGGGGTGAAAATCAAAGAAAGACCAGGGCATTTGTAGAAAAGAAACTTGAATTTATTCAGGGTTGGACAGGATCCGAACCCGTGCCTCCGGGGCTACTACCAACCAAGCCATGTATCCACGCATTGAGAGGGTTCTTCTTTCCCATAGAGGAACTTTTTCACCCGCTAGTAGATTGACGAATAAGGCTTTCATATTTGAGACTTCATTTCAGTTAACTTGCATTTTCGTTGTTTGCCAATTTTTTTGTTGTTTAATTTCGGCTTAAAAAGAGAAAGCTTGGTCATTTCTTTACACATATGTCTCTTGAAATCGTGAAAAAAAAAACCCTGTGTGAAATTCCACGGAATATCACTATTTCAGTCCAATAACACAAAAAATCCCGTTAGCATCTGTTCTCTTTCTTGTGAAAAGAAAGTGAACTTGAGTCAGTTTGGCCAAAATGTAATTTTGAATTTTAATTTCAACTAATTTATTGGGTTTGACTTCTAAATACTAATAATAATAATAACAATAATAATAATAATAATAATAATAATAATAATAATAAAGAAACACGCAACAGTAGCACTTAGTACAATATTATAAAGACCCAAAAAGGGGGGGGGAGGAGGGGGAGGGAGTGCGAACGGGACGCGAGGTCCCATGCGAGGCACTCCCCTATATTAAAAAGTAATAAATTAATAAAAAGGGCAGTTTTGTAAAAAAAGGAAAATACAATAGTTAGCGATGGCAGGGGCAGGTTCTGATCAAGGTCCAAGTACAGGTGTAACCTGTATCAAAAAAGAGGTCCGAAGTAAGTACATAAGATGGGACATAATAAAATTCTTGAAGGCTTCTGGAGTGGAGAAATTTGAAGGCGGTGATATTTTACATATGTAGTTCCAGAGCTTTACAATTCTGTTAAAGTTAACTTGTCAGGGGGCAGAATGCATGGAAAAAATTGTCTATGAGTCAGACACCGGGGTCGAAATATTGAGAGTCAAGCAGCGGGGTGAAGAAAATATGTCGTTCAGGAGTAAACCTTTGAACTTGCGTGTTTCTCGCTTACAACTGAGTATTGATTCAAGATATGGCGAGGGAAACACAGCGCCAGGCCTACAAAATTGTAGCTCTTAACTAGCCCACGTGCAGCCCCAACCTTTTCTGGTGGAGAAACTAAGAGAGGGTGCAGCTACACGAAAGCTAGCTCTTATTAAACATCTATTTGTACTATTTCTACTATCAGAGATTAGCTTACTCTATCCTCTTACAATATCACTATTGAATGAAATATTGATACTATTTCTACTATCAGAGATTAGCAGTTTCTATCCTCTCACAATATCACTATTGAATCAAATATTAAGGTCACGAGAATAAGTAAATTGATCGCTCATCCAAGAATCTCTTGATTGTTTCATAAATTCTCCACGTCAGAACCTTAGGAGATATTTAGAGAACGGTATGGAAAATTTGCAAACCAATTTTACGGCCCTTAAGAGGTTAATATCTTCTTGTTTTTTACTTCCTTAGAAACTGCTAAATATCTCAACAAAAATCCGGATATTGGTTTGAAAGCCCATGGTGACCTCACATTGAAAACGTGACTCGACCCTGTGTTGCAAACCGTCAGTGAAGGTTACAATGACGTCATCAGTGTGGATGTTTACATCTGTTATTTTGCAACAACTCTTTGATCGCACGTCTCTGAAACTCAAATCACTGGCACCTTCTCACCAAAATCCCTCAGAGAAACTCTACGTGATAATCCAGGTTGCAGCAAGGCAGACAGCGTCTTAAAGATCATCAGGCAAATTTCGTGACGATGAATCATCACGTTGTATTTCTGACGTGCGCTGTATTTTCTTCATTCTTCACGGGTAAGTGACTGTGTTCATTCCATGTCTATCTTCAGGGGGAACTCGCCAGCAAATGTTAAAATGTTAAGAGATTTGAAATTTTACTTATCGTACTACGATTTGAAAAATAGGCATTGCTTCTTCATTTCTTGTGATCAGAGATCAATTTGTTGGTATTTGATCAGTTGCTCGCTCTCGGCAGAACTGCATGTAAATCAGTGAATTCTGATTTCTTACAATATGAGGAGTAATGTATGCTATAACCGTTTTTGTGTCTTAATTACCACTTTCCCTAAAAGAAATGCCCTATGAAGTGGGCCGCAACACGATATTTGAGTTAGCAAGGACTCTGTTACGTTGTGATTGTTTCAGCCCAACACGTACGTTTGGGATATTTTAACTCGCCGCGTAATTTTCCTTCAAGCGGCGTTTTTTGAATGCTTGATTATCAAAAGAACTCTCGTGATCTTTCTCTGTCCCAAGTTCGTATCTTTCCTAACTTAATTGGTGAAGACTTGACTAAACTTTTAAATGTAATTGTGTAGACTTGAACCACTTGCAGGGTTATAGCATTAAAATAGGCATAATTTTATTGACTTAATTAACCACATAGTCGGCAAATCGTGCAATTAGGCAATAAGAAAGTAGCTGGATAGTTTTCGGTAACAAATAAAGGAAGAAAGGTCCCTTTGAGTCATGCGACCATGAAACTTCATTGATGGCGGTGCGCGTTTAGTTCCTTTCGTGGTCATAATTTCAACGTCACCCGCTGAGAATAAGATTCAACCAAATTATTCCAAATGTTTTGTTACAAACCATTGTTTTCAAAACAATTTACCGCTCAGAAATGGGGTGAACAATTATTATAATAGCGTTTGCTATAGCAGGCCTGCAATGGTTTTCATTTAATTTCGATCTAAGCTTTGATCCTGTCCACAGGAAGACCTGGATCAAAACAAATATTATGGTAAAGTTTTCGATTCGAAGGGAAGCCCCTGTGGGTGAAAACAACTGAATGATATTATTGTCTTCAACGCGGATTAAATGCGGCGAATAATATATAGAGCGGCGTTACTTCCCGAATTTTAGAGAGGGTAAGTAACTGTCTGCCTGTTTGGCTTTTAGTATCCTTAGGGACCACAAACAGTTCCTGGGAACATCACATTCGGGAAGATCTACTCGAGAATTATGACCGCAAAGTCCGTCCCGTTTTGAGAGGTAAAAGAGTGGTGGAGGTGTCGTTCGCCTTGAGAGTCAGCAGATTAGTTAAAGTGGTAAGAGATGATCCTGGTTCATCATCATCATCATCATCATCATCATCATCATCATCATCATTGTTACGTTTGCAAACGAATGTGAAGCCAGAAATCTTGGATGCAATAGTTTTCGTGGAAAACTAGTGTAATATCTAATAATTATTCATTACACGACTCGGGTAGTCAGAGGGCCAATAACTAAAATCAACCAATCAAAATGCTCTATTGCCGGTCAATATTCTCTCAGTATTGGACCGGGAACTGTCCCGAATGGTCCCGAAT